CTTTTTCAAATCAGAGCAAACAACTCCGAACCTGGTCTAGGTTTTCAATAGATAATCGGATTAGAAAACCAAAGCAAGTAATGACTAATAAAATATTAAACTTTTATAAAATAGGTTGTCCCAGAAGAACAAGTTGGAATCCGTAGAAGTTTTCTGGAAGGAGACCCCATTTTTAGGGTGGCTGAAAAATTTAGATTTTTGGCTAAAAATCCCACCTAGATTACGGCTTAAGTGGATCTTTGGTGGTCATTTTCAGTTGGTTGGAGAAGGGAGTCTACTTTCGGGACAACCTAATAGACATTCAATTCCAGATCTACTGATCACGCAGAACAGCTACTACCATTATAGCAAGTAAGTTTCGATGGGCACACACCTTTACGGGATCGCTTCCAGATAATTGCATACCCTAAAATAGTAAATGTAATTATTTTCCTTGTCCATGCAAGGAAGTTTACAGTTATCGCCGGTGGCTGCAAAGCGAAATGAATTGTTGACATAGCTGCATTTGCACAGATGAAATTGTTCTATAATAATCACTGCTGGAGATTTTTTTGGGATTTCATCTGCAAATATTTCATTCCTCTGGAATATGCGAACATCTATTCATTGCTTAGTTTGGCTTGTGGAAGAATATGCGACTTTCCCGCATTAATTAATCCATTGACGACGACGCCTAATTTTGCGTGGCGGCGCGGTGAGACGACGCGATTTTGCATCACTTTCGGTGTGGGAATTGTTTTGTTATTTGCAAAATGTAGAGTTGTTCTGTAAACAATTATAAACGTTTTCTTGAACGACGAAGCCTACAGGCCCCAAGAGAGCAAAAAAATTGGAAAGATATTAGAATGGAAAAAATACCAGGCTTACATATGGCTTTGCAAGAGATGGGTCACTGGTGGTCCACATCGTCGACAATGGGTTAAGCATATTTTTCTATTCTTTCTCTCGCTTTATTAGTAGTAAGCAAATTGCAAAAGATTCATGAACAATTGTTTTAGCGAATATTTGGCAAAAGATGCCATACCCCGTTAAATCATCGTTGGCTTTGAAAAAGCTAGTAAAAAATTTATTTTCAGAATATATTGGAATATGTTCTTGAAGCTATAGACTCGAGCTTAACTTTGTAACCAAGCTTGCGACTTCATCTATCATTTTCTGAATTGAAAAGTTCGACTGAAGACAATAAGGTCATCTGCTGTAAGATCATCTTACGGCCTGAGGTGAGCTACGGTCAGTAAGTACAAAAATATGGCACACATCAGGCAGTAGTTATCATAAGAAACTATAAACTTTCACCTTTTTGGGGGCTTATAGTCAGGGCCCGGCACGAGGTGGGCAAATGACAAGCTGGAAATCGTTTTGGGGCAAAAAACAAAGGGGATATCGTTTTTGCGGGATCCGGGGCGGAGCCCCGGAAGAAGATTCCAAGTCCAAGCAAAAGAAGGTCGAAATGCTTACCTTATACATCTAATTCATTGGGAAATAGTTTTCATAAACCTCAACACACAGCAGAGTTCGCGTGCTACGCCGCGTTGCCGCTAATTGCCGCGTGCGCGATGTCGCATGAGCGATGCCGTTGAACAGCATGATTACATGATCAGTTCCCAATGCAGGCGTAACGATATAGCACCAAATTACGTAGCGAACGAAGAGAGGCTAGTAGAAACAAAGTATGAAATATTATGAAAAACTTATGTGAATGGGAGGAGTAATAAGCATTTTTTCCAAAAAATTTGCAAAACTGGTAAATAAAGATGTGAATTCAAATGGCTCGTTTGCAGCGCACAGATGACCATACGATACGAAATTTGGTAGGTACATGAACACGGGCCTGCAGGGCTTATCTTAGAAGTTTCATTACATAATTATGTGAATGGAGGTTGTGGCAAGCTTTTTTCTGAAAATTTCCCACTATCAAGAAAATAGAAAAATGGCTCGTTTGCAGCGTAGAGAAAACGAAATCGCGCGAGACTTGGTGTGTATACGAGCAGTAGGACTAAGAAACAATGTATGAAAAATTATGAAAAACTTATGTGAATGAAGAGCGTGCTTAACTTTTTTCCAAATTAGGTGGGCAATTGCCCACCTAATGCCGATCTGAGGTGGGCAAAACTTTCAATTTACATAATTTTTTCAAAATTTTTACATAAATCTGTTGTGGACCTAAAGTTTACTATATGGTGAGATTTTGGTTCCGAAATTCCTCCTCTTGTCTTTGTTAGAGCCCAAAATCGCATCAGCAGCCTTGCTTTCTAAGATGGAAAGCGCGCCCCAGTCAATCGATACGCTCGGGAACGGCATCTCTCACTCCTATGACTGCGCTACTTTGATATTTTTTTCTTTCCTTCAACATTTTTCTTACTTATTCTTCTTCCTGTTTTCTATCTTGATACAGGTGAGGAGTAATTAGAGGAATTTGAGCATTTTGGGCGCTTTTGAGCGCTTTTAGGCGAAGTGTGGCCGGTGCTCTCGTTGCACAAGCACAAAGCGTCATTTTTTGGCTCAAGGGGGTATTCGTAAAACTATTGGGATCAGAGGGGAATTCGTTTTGGAAAACCCCGTTTGCCTACCTTGTGCCGGGCCCTGCTTATAGTATGGAAGGATAATGATTTCAAAAAGGAACAGAGATGGTTTTTCCCTTGTAATTTTTTCTTTGGTAGACGGTGTCTTCGGTTTGGAGCTTTTGTTTGATGTTATAAGTTTCTTTGTTTTCTACAATTCATAAATAGCGAAGTTGACAACACTTGTAACCGATCCTTGGAGATAGCGATGGCAAAAATAGCATACCAGTTTGAATACGAACCATAAGCCTCTTTCCACAAGTGGTCATGGTCACAAATTTTTGTTTGGTCTATTGCACTAATTGTAAGGTCTGTTGATTAGCAGTACCTATATTTGTACAAATTAACCATTTTTTGAAAGTATTTATAAAAATGAAAAAATAGCATCTTCTTGCTGGTTGTAAAGCTTTTTTCGAGTAGAACAAGCTTTATGAGAAGATGCAAAGACAATGGGGAGTTTCCTCCAATGTTCTTGAAATGATTCTTGATATTCTTGTATGCATCAGTACGGAAGCGGAAACGCTACAATTTTGCAGCACTTCCGCAGCGCTTTATGGAAAGTGCTGCGGAAGTTCCGGTTTCAAGTCGCATTGGCTTCAAATCCCCGCGGAAGCCCTGCATTTTTGAGCATGCACTTTTTTAATGATTAACAAAATGCTGCGGAACCGCTACACCTTCTGTTTTCCTGCGTAATTGTGAATTGTCTGAGCATGCTTTGAAATATGTGATCAGGTTTGCATCCTAGAAGTTGAAATTATTAGGTTGTTTCCTTCCTATATCTTTCCTTTATTTTTTACGGCTTGGGTGACCGTTCAAATAATCAAAGCAGGTTCTACAAGATATCTATCAAGCGTTCACTATGGAATAGGGAATTCACGCGAATGAAGCTAAAATCTGATAGTGAAACAGATTTATGTGTTAAAAATCGTATGTCCGACCCACAACATCCTAAAAAATCCCCTGAATCAAGTACACTTGGCACATCAAATATTTAGTTGTACATTTTGATGTTTCTTTCATGGCTAGAAATGACGAAAAAAATGATGTGTGTTAGTGTCGAAATCGCAAAAAATGAGATAACCTAATATTTCTAAGATTATAAAAAGCTAGCAGCGCTGAAGTGCATATATCATATATCCAGAGCAGAAACGACTTCAGCTTGACGAGGCGGATACTGCGTCACTGCAAATCTAGAAGGTGCGGTAATATGCGGAATTTCGGACCTAGGGAAGCCGTAGAAACGGAAGGGGGAGGGCGGGGGGGGGGGAGGGGAGGGGGCGAGAGAATAAAATGGTCTGAATGTGTTGAATGCAGCTGGACTGTGTCCCAACTTTTCCACGAAGTTCTTTGTAAAGGTAAAATAATTCCCTGAAAATCAGATTAGCCTTTGGAAGAACAATGATCTGCACTTTCAGTATTTGGTGTGGGTAAGTATGCGATAAAACTCTCGTCATAGAAAATGACAGCAGCTGTATCATTTGATGCTATGTGACGCTGAGATTACCCAGTACTATAAGCGTTCGCAGAAAACTTCTTTCCAAGGAAAAAATCACAAACGTTTTTCAATGAAGAAGCTTGCAAAATTTTGTGACGTACTAAATCCATTTTTCAATGGACATGCTTCCTTCCCTGCTCCCCCCCCCCTTCCCCTCCAAAAAAATTTCTGCGGGCGCCCCTGGTGTACGGTAATGGGCCTCTTGCATATCTTGAATAAACACAACTTTTCCCATCCGCGTTTGCTCTAGCAGGGATTCTACCGTATACCTACCGTAGCCTAGGTGATTGCTTACGTGCAGATTATGAAGTTCTGTGCAAGAGCCTATTTTCTACAATCGTTGATTCAACGGCTTGACGGCTGGAAGGCGGGGCTTGGTGACTTAATTAAGGCTAGGTAATGATCAGAGAGCACGGCACGTGAGAGACGCAGACTGTGCCGTGAGCGCGAACGGTGTCAATGGGTCACAAAGGACTGCCTCCTAGCCGCCAAGCCAGTTGAATCAAAGGTTACGTAATCCACTCTAAGGGAAAATGTAATGCGATCTGGGATTTTTTTTTCGATTTCCATTTCCGCGTTTTTTTTTCAATGAAAAGGAGAAAGCTTGTAAGTCAATGAAGTAAACGACAGGCCTTGTGGACCTTCTCCGAATAACTTCGGTACTAAATGAATGTTGCTCCCTTCCCCCTCTTCCTCCCCCCCCCCCCTCCACCCGCACCCGCTTCTTTTTTGAAAACCTGTTGGCACTTTTTCAGGCCAATTGGGTGCAAACACACAACTTGTTGGCAATGTGACAATTTGCGCGATGTGATTTCTCGCGCAGTGTGATTCTACGCATCAGTGCGTGACAGCATGTTCTCGACCAGTTTTCTTTCACACTGTGTGAACACGGGAAAGGGGGAGGGGGGGGGGGGAGTGGAAGGGGTGGTAGTTTTATTGTACAGATGCAGTGTAGTGTACAGTGTTGCAGCGGTGTCGACTGTCGCGTCAACTTTGATCTCAGCGATCAAGCAAAGGAGACAACCCCACTCGTTCTCATCAACCACATTCAGTGTCGTCTCATCATCGATTCCTTCCCGGATCTAAAATATTTGACTATATTTGTATTTCCGTCAACTATTTATATCATACAAGTTAGTTACCGTCAAATCCCTTAACTTTAAGGCTGTCGAAGTGAGCCAAAATATTTTTTTCGATGGTTCAAATCTTGAAACTTCATTTAATTTTTTTTGAACAGCTCTGCTTAAGTGTTCGAAATCCCAAAAATTGTTTTACCTCCAGAAAATGTAATTGCCAAAGCTTCGACAGTCTATATAACAGCTCTTAGTTCTTGCTGTAAGATTGACTTTCATTGTTGCTATGACGTCATAATTTTTTAAAAACAATTTCTTTCTTATGATCTTAGCTTGAGAAATTTTTCCGCATAGAAAATGTACATTGTCATGCACTATAATATTAGGTTCTACCAAAAGTTCGTTCGCACCATTTTCAAAAATTCATAACTTCTTCTTAATTTAACCGATTTGAGTGTTTTCATTTTTATCTGTAAGAGCAAGTCATTCTCTTTATAGCGGTAGCTTAGCGACATTCCTTTGAGCATGCACTGCATAGATATAAGCGGTAGAAGAAACTTACTCAAATTTTGAATTTTCTGTGTAGAGTCATAAAAAATCTGAAACCTGCACTAAAAATCGGAGCAGTCAGTATTATGGATTCTTTTACCAGCTCTTTCTAGCTGTGCAAAGTTTGCACTGATTGAGCGTCTCTATGAAAAGTTATGATCTCCCTGAAAATTGCCAAAATAAATCAAATTCGCCTTTTTGTATAGCTTGCTCAATAATCATAGCTTTTATAGAGACACTCAATCAGCACAAGGTTTGCACAAATAGAAAAAGCGGATGATATAACCTATATACCAAATGCTCGGATTTTTATTGCAAGTTTTAAAATTTTTTATGACCCTACACAGAAAATTCGAATTGTGACTAATTTTCTTCTACCGCTTTTATCTATGCAGCGGATGATCATTAGTAAGCATTCAAGATGTCATTATAAAGAGCATGACTTACTCTTTCATACAAAAATAAATGCGGTCCAATCGATTGTAAAAATCCGAAGTTATGAATTTTTAAATTTGGTGCGAACAACTTTCGGTACAACCTAATACTTGTAAATTTTGTAGTAAGTTAAACATAACCCGCTTTTTTGAGCTCCGCTTCGCTTTGAAAGAAAACGTTTGCTTCCACAAAACATGTACAAAAATCAATTCTCTAAATATTCATGCTTAAGGTTTCGAATCATTATTTAAAGTTTATGAGTTTTAAATTTTTGATTTTTTCATCAGCTCCTGGTACAAAAGCTCAGAAAATGCCTTTTCCCATAGAAAATGTACATTTTTGAATTAACCAACATTTTCGCAATCTTGAATTCACAGATTCACAGCCTAAACCAATTCTATAATCTATTTACGCTCGATGCCATATCATTATTTCCGCTACGTTAAGTTTTTTCAAGTTTTATTCATTTGTGATTTTTGCTCTCCCCATACCTTTTTCCACCTGTTTCGCCTGGATCTACTAAATCTATCTGTCCATTGAATGTTGAATAGCGAAACCTTTGGGCACCATACTTTATGTGATCGCTACGGAATAGCGGATATTAAAAGAATTGACGAATGAAGCGATGACATTGAGGCTGGAAGTCCTCTCGGTATTTGACTAACTCCGCCCCTTGCCAACTTTTCTTCACTTTTTATCTAACAATCTTACCGTTCTTTCATAAGTTCTATTTTTTGCGCTCAGGAGTTTTTTGCGGACATGAAAATTTGCAAATGCTATTGGCCACATCTCTAATGATTAGAAAAATTAGTCCAATGATCAAGATCTGATAGAAAATTACCGATTTCTTCAAAGTCTCAACATTCCAGGAAAGCTTCTACCCCCCCCCCCCCGCCTCCAAGGGTGGCGTTATGATTTGTCACTGATGTTGCCACTAGAACCTGTTCTTAAGGATACATCAACACTTTTCCTATCGTTTCTATTGTAAACCATGACAGTTTCAGCGAACGCTATTGCCGATATAAAGACCTGAACCTTTAAAAAGTGGAACAGAGAAAATCAGTACTGTATTTCAGACATTTGTTCCTTTCACTTATGTTGAAATGAATTAAAGGCAGTGTATTTATAGTGACTCAAAAGCAGTGTGTACGAAATTTAGGAGATAGAACTAATTCTTGGATTGCGATTGAGAGGCCTTAGCGGGAAAAAGATGTTATCCTAAAGGGGTGGCCCTATATGGACATCTGTAGCAAGCCAGCCATACATGACATACATGACATAGACAGTGCAAAGTTGTAACAGCTGTCCGCGCGGGGCGGGATCTATCTGCAGTGATTTCTTGGCGGAAAAAAGATGATATCCGAAAGGGGTGACCCTGCGGACATCTGCAACAGGCCACGCAGCCATATGTCATAGACACCGCAGATTTGTAACAGTTGTCAGCGCGGGGGACGGTCCTGGCATATTATAGTCCCCTACCCGGCCTTAGCTAATCTTTTGTTTAAGCGGCAGATATTTTAACACACATGAGCAAAATATCAAGCTTTAGCTCTATGGTGATTCTGCCAATCGGACCAATGAGCGTCCTCGGTACGGTAGAGATACGGTCAGGGCTGCAGTTTGATTATTTCAAGCGCGAATGGATCATATAAGCTGCCTTTTGGGTTATGACCGAGACCCAGATTTACCTGGATATTTTCAAAGAACTCACCCGTCCACCTCTTTTACTGAAAAATTTAAATTTTTTTAGCATGCGGTTAATCATCATACTAGCTTCACTTTATTACACCGAATCTTTGCCAACGACGACGACGACCGTAATCACGAGGACTTCTGTGACCAAAGCGGAAGATTCGTACGAAGACGAAGAGGACAACTGGGAATGTGGCACTGATGACTTGACCAAATACTTAAGCGAGAACCAAATCGAGTTGGACTGTCCAAAAATAAAAAGTGAGTAAAATTAGTAATTACAACCATAGAAGGGCAGTTTAGAAAGTTGCAAAAAATTTAGTAGACTATAAAGTAGTTGTCTACGGAGCAAATTTATAGCCCATCATTTCGATTTATTTGACTGTTTCTCAAGAAAATTTTTCATCTCATATATTTCATGGATAATTTTTGGAAATAGACTTTCTGTCTTACAGCATTTTGCCTAAATTTTTTTGGTCATGTGAATTTACAAAGTCAAAATAATCTTTTTTTTCACTGCTCTGTGTCTCCTTCTTCAGTTTCACTGTCTGCGTCTCTTTGTTCTGCTGTCTGCGTCTCTTTGTTCCACTGCTCTGCGTCTGTGACTTCACTTCCACTGTCTGCGTCTCTTCACTTCGCGCTATCCATACTCTCTTTTGCTGCTTGCACCTGTACCGAATTGCGTACTACATATATTCAACATAATTGAAGAGTGTTTCCCAAATATCATACAATTATTTTTACAGAAAGTGTGAATCAATGCTGTGTTTACCATGACAAATGCTATGACGATCAACATGGCAGAAAATATTGTGATGATACGTTTTGCTCTTGCTTGGAGGTGAGTCTGCGTTTGGTAAAAAAATTTTATTCAAAATAACACTTTTTTTAGCAAGTGACCAGAGGTTACAAAGTATGTCACGATGAAAACAGTGTGTTATTTTGCTCGATGGTGCGACAGTTTGGCGCTCATGCTTACCTTCGCGCGGGTAATCATACAGGTGCAGTACTAGCCGAGGAGACAGAGGTAAAGTGACTGCTGTGGACGTATTCATCAACAAATCCAGTGGGTTATGAAACATAACAGAGAGGAGAAGGAAGTAAGTGACTGTGGTGGTCACAAACTTGTATGCATCAAAAAGACAGAAGTATGTTTATTGATGAACCCTTTGCAAATTTCAAACTAAGGAAAACGTACCCTCCCCCCCCCTACCATTTAAGCGTCCTCGTATAAAAGAAATCCAAAAATGGGTACTCTGGATACTGATAATGGCTATTATGCTTGCGTTTACCAGACTCAGTTAACTTTACCTCCTGCCCTAACCAAGCTTAGACACTCTCAAACAAAAATCTAAAAATCTATAAACTCGATGGTTTTGATAACGATTATTGTAACGACTACTTTATTTGTGATCAACGCCTTCTATTATCCGCCCTCCACCAAGTTTGGGCGACAACGAAAAATTAAGTTGGATATTTCATTCAATTCGACAACGACTTTATACTTTTGAGGAGTTGCAATATTGTGAGATCCGAATGACCTCATCATAACATCAACTGCAGTTGCTATAGGAAGCCCGGATACTTAGCAAAGACTTGCCGTAAACGCGTCTCGAAAGAGGTGTGGTCACTGCAGCAACCAGCACAAGTCAGTCGCAAATGAAAACTATGCGAACTATAGTGACACGGATCGTGACTTTGTAAGGTTCCTTGTGGTGATCATAATAACGATAGAAGTTTTTCTTGAGTGAGTTTTCACATGGTTCATCTGCCGGGAATCTAACCCGGGCCGCCTGCGTGACAGGCGAGCGTTCCAGCACTAAACCACGGAAACGAGAGCAACATATAGGCGCCGTAAAACCTAATTGCCCGCGCCGTGCCTTGAACACCAGCGTAAGCGAGCGGTCGTCGCGAACGACTGTCGGCGTTCACTAAATTCCAGGAAATCTTTCTTTAGCTTTCATGTTGTTCTCGTCAATGCAAGGTATATCTTGACGAAAGCTTCCAAGTTTAGAAAAATATGTGTGGAAAGGGTGCACGCTCATTGTCGCTCGCAAAAAGCCTGTAGCGCTTCGGGACCAAACGTTCCCAGCCGGCCGCGCCTTGGTGGTCAAAGCGATGCGTGGGCAATTGGATTATACGGGGCCTGTAAATGTTATTGCATTTGTTCGTACCGCGAAGCCGCACGATGTAGATTTGTAGTACACGAATGTCTCGAATATGCTTTATTGCTCGCACAAGGTAAAGGAGATTACAAGAACCAGAGAACATAAGTTGCCTGAGAAGATTACCTTCGGGCTCCTCGTCGGGATAGGCCTTACCGTCCCCTTTGAACTCCCGGCTCCCCCTTAAGAGCCCTGCGGCTCTCTCAAAACATAATTCGCAGATAAGCCGTAATGTTTATAAACTATAATGAGGCACGCAGTCCGTGTTTTCATTCGTTGGAGTCATGATCGCGAGAGTCATGACAGCATTCTTTCCTAACGTACAAAAGGAAATCTGCAAGACTCTTTTATCAATAATCAACGTAACAATTCCTCCTATCTTCTTTTTTGACTCACGGTTCATTCGCAAAAAGGAACATGTAGCCATGTTAGCACGAAATCAAAAATTGTCGTACGTTTGCACGAGCCTAAATCATCCACAACCTTCGAACTGTACAGTGAGCAACACTTGCGCATGTACTCCTGCTAAGAATGATGTTAACTGTTATCGCAAAGTACCAAATGATGAGTTTTTCAACATAAATTCTGTTACCCTTGACTTTCCTATAGTTCGTAGTCAAATTCTCGAACGCTTATAATCCTATAATCGTAGCGAAATTGCCTCTTTAGGGTTGTCATTGAAACTGAATATTTCGAGAGATAGTCTTTGAAATGTAGTAGACAATTTCGCCTGCTCAGTCTCCACTTCGCACCTTGTAGGACGTTAAGACACTTCGAGATTTTTGGTCGAAGTATGGCAAGCGCAACAGCGAAAATCACATTCGAAGACAGTAAATTTATAGTAGGTTGTAGAGGGGGAAGAAACGATGCGTTTCCTTTGATACAGCCCAAAGCGGAATTTGTCGAGCGCACCGTGGAAAAAATCGTCATCACGAATCACGAAAGTTGAATCATTGTCAGGTAACACTTCGGGTTTCACTTTTCCAGATATTTTTTACTTAGGCCATGTAATCAATCAATATTTTCGGTATGTAACATCAGTGGAGACATTCCTCGTAATCGCGATATAATCGCGATAATAGTAATCTTTGCCTCGTAGCCATTATGATAATTCGAGATCAAATGTGCATCAGCTTCCATTTTTGGTCATTCCCATGTCTCATACCGTTGTTGTGCATCCTTCAAGTATTCATTTGCCATTTCGCATATTCCTGCACACACTTTGTGTATGAAGTTTGTTTTCGCCTTGTCACTCATAGAACGAATTGAACAATTTGTTAATACAAACTTTTCAGAATGCTTCCAGAGCAAGAGGTCCAAAGGGTTTCGACTTCGGATACTAATTCGCAAAAAACCTGGAAGTGGAAATGGAAAAGTTGAATGATTAGCCGGAAGAAGGGAAGGAGCCCACACCTGATGCCGCGTGTTCAACGTCGGCTGCGGCCACCGTACGAAATCTCATCACGCAACTAAAGCAAGAGCTGGAGAAAATTCCAAAAGAAGTAGAAAAAGAGGAAGTTTGTTTGTAGTTGATTCATGGGGCTTCGAAGTACGGCAACTTGCAAGAGTTGGTGGAGCATCCGGAAAACTTACAATATTAGAAAAAAACGCAAGAGAAAGAGATCGGTTGGCGGGTCCACAGGGAAGTAATGACAAACTCATTGTTTTGAAGCATCGTCAGATGCGCAAGAGATGAAGTGGAAAACGCTGTGTTTCACCTAAGACAATTTTATGAATTGAAGAAGGAACGTTCACGACGAGTAGGAAACGATTCCCCGCGCCATCACCTCGTACTCCGCCAACAACAGCCGCGTTGCTAACCTCGCTAGTGGGAAAAGGACGATGTAATTTTGATTGCAATTCTAATACGCATTAATTCGCAACAGATCCGACGTGTAGCACTTTGTCCGATAGAATGGAGCGCAAGCACCGCAGTAAGGGAAAGTCGCACGAACACGACCGCAACCACGGCTACACCACCCCAAATTTGAATTAGCCTCGGAATTTAGAAAACTTAAACTTGTCAGAGACACCCGTCGCTCATTCGTCGTCACTATACATGCTCATCGTCCTTACTCGCAGATCAGACTGTGTGTTGATTGATGCGTTTTTTATTCATTTGTTATATTGATATCTGAGTAATTCTGAATGAGATGTATTGCCTGAAGATTGTTGGTCTATTGATTTTTGATCCATAGGAAGATTAAGCCATTTTCTTCATTTTATAATGATTTGAGTTACCTAGCACAAAAACATTTCTAAATTCATCTCGCGCACCGGAGAGTTGCCGAAAGTTTTCGTAAAGCAAGTCTCCGTATTCATTCCTCGTCGAGAAGCTTCGACCGCAGAATGCCATAGCAGCCATTTGATGATTGTGAAGTCACCACCCGCTCTCGGTCCAGTGGAAGCTCCTTCGTAAAGGCAAAGCCCCGGCGGCCCAATGTCGCGAACGCGTCTTCAAAGAGGAGTGGTCACGGCGGCGCTTAGCGCAAGTCATTCCCAAAGAAAAACTCATGCGCTATGGTGACTCGGATCGTTTTGTGAGATTCCCTGTGATGCAATCATATTAATGATAAAAATTCCTCTTGAATGAGTTTCCCACGACACTGCACAAAAGACATTGTTTGATGTCCATTCTTCCGAACATGTGAGTCCTCAGAAGCGTGTCAAGCGTGCTGACGCTTTAGTTGCGCGATACGTGTGTGTGTCGAAAAGTTAGAAATGTGAACAAAGAGAGTTCGTTGCTGACGCAATGGGTTAGCGAACCCAACGGAGCACTTGCGATTACCGATCTTACCCAGTGGGTTCGTTGATGAATACGGACATTGGTTTGCGGTAGGAAACTGTATTGTGAATTTAGGTTGATCTGTCACATACTGGTAATAGCACTAATTTTGATAAAGATGACGTTGCCGTTCTTGATTTTGATTATGAAGCATTCGTCAGGTGAATAAATTCTTTACACTTTTTTGAACCTTATCAATCGATGATTTTTATTGCTATGTATTTTCAGAGCTAACGACACTAATGGCAAACCTATACGGGAAGGTACCGATCTCCTAGAACAGCTAGTGAAAACCGCAAAATAGTCGAAGTGTTCGTTTATTGTAGACTATTGTTGTAAATAATAAAGCACCAGTCGATGACGGATCAATCGCCATCGATTGTTTATAATCAACATGCCTTCGACTCACCTCGAAGATTGGATGAGTAGCAATAGCGAACTGACAGTGGGTAAGTTTGGAAAAGAATGGTGAAAGGGGTATAGAGAGAAGATAGAAGCTTCAAAAATTTTAAGCTTGTAGTAAGTTTGTAGTCTTGTAGTTTTTCTAATAGATGAAAATCTAATTTCGAGTAATTGGTTTTTGTCATGCTATGCGTTCTCAAGTAACATAAAGGAAGCACCTCTTTAGTGTAAAAATTTTTAGCCGATTGAAAGCTTATATATAAAGCTGAATGTCTGTTTGTCTGTATGTCTGTCTGTCTGTCTGTCTGTGTGTACGTATGTTCCGAATAGAAAATTCCATTTCTGAACTGATCCGGACCAAACTTGGCACACATACACTTCGAGCCCCGGCGGGTGTCATAGGCTACTTTTCGTCATCGATCGATATCGATTTTATCGATTTTTTGCAAATTTTGAGCTACGGGGCTGGGAGTTGGCACAAGGGGTTAATCGATCATGCTGATTACGAATATAATGACAGGGCCGGGCGGAGCCGGGTAAGTCAACTAGTCTATAATATAAATGTGTCTTTGTAGTGATAATATTTGCAATTCCAAAGTTATTAAACGAGCCCCGTTTCTAACAATAAGTTTTGCTCTTCTCAAACTTTTTTACGCGCAAAAGTTGTCGGCACGGAAAAATGCGACATTATACTAAACACGCGACCTACTAGACTGTAAGCAGCTCTGCATTTTTCATAATTTCGCCACTACTTGCATTTGGTTTTGCACTCTATGTTGCCAGTGGAATCTGTTTGGAATATGTAAAAGCAGACCAGCCTCAATATTAAGGAAGCAAAAAATTATTTTAGATCTTAATTGTCTAGTGTAAAACTCAATATGCGACATTCACAGCACTTCCAAAAGAGCAGGGCAGAGTTTACTTTCAGGGGTTTTCTAAATTGAAGCCCCTTTGACTCCGACAAGATTATGAACTCATTTTGATCTTTGCAGTGACCCTGGACCTAATCTTGAAGTTTTCACATCTTCTGTAGGAGACATACCATATCAAAATGAACAGAAGATTGTAGATTTTGATCCTTTACATCTTCAACAAAAATTATTGGGAATCACAGAAAAAGTCGATAGAGATCCTCCACATCTGAAGAGTCAAGAGAATATCCAAGAGAGAACACGCGAGTAGTTGAGCCTTTGAGATCCACATAAGCATAGAGGTTATTGTGTTAAGACCACGCTTTTTTAGAGTGCTGACTAGAACTGAAAGAAGCAAGACAATCATGTATCAAGGCAGACAGGATTTGAGTCGGGATTGAAAACGGAATGCTTGAGGTATAGGTCCTAGAAGTCGAAGCGCGATATCAAAGATTTTGCACAAGTAAAAGGCAAAAACTAAAAGAGAAAGCAATTTTTTAAATTTTTTGCCCACTGAAAGAAGTTACCGGGATTTTCAATATAGTGTTCGTAATATTGTACCATTCATTCTCTGACTAACAAGGAAAGGAAACCAACTTAGATTCGCTTTTGAAGATGTGACACATATATTGGAATCAGCTTCAAACGCTGATTCCAAACGTGCTGTTCCTAGCTGCTTAGCGTTATTCCGAAGCGAGTTATGGTCTTGCTATTGTGAGTGACTAACAAACTTCTGAATGTCGTAAGACACCGTGTAGCTAAGAATCTGTCGAAAAAGTGCTAGGATGTTGAATAAGCATCAGATTAATTTTTTCAACCCTGAAAAGGGGCGTTATACAATTGCAAAACCACCCAGACGTCGACATCGTAGCATCAATAGGTCGAGGAGCACGCAAACTTTGCACAGAAACGAGACTATAACTCGCTTCAGAATAATGCTAAGCAGCTAGGAACAGCATTTTTGGAATCAGCGTTCCAAGATGATATCAAATATATGTATCTCAAAAGGCAAATCTAAGTTAGTATCCTTCCTTGTAAGGCGCACGGGAAGGCTTTATACGTCCGATTAACAGTTAGTTCAACAAGTTTATGAGTGCGTTTTGACGCGTTATGGTGAATTATTATTTAGAATTCTTGAAAGAACACGTCAAACTCGCGTAGTTTGAAGGCAATGTCCGAACAAAAAGTCGATCTCGAGATTTTGTGCTAACCTGAGCCTATTGCCTATGCTGAATCCAAAAATCTATACTAGAGAACACGAAAACGGCGAAGAAGGGCTTTAGTGGAGGAGGGAAACCCAGGAGGTGGGCAGGGTCTTTCACTTTGTGAAGCCACTCTCTCAGCTTCGCGGCACTCTTCTCGATTCCGATTACAAGTCACGCGTTTGCACTTGGCCGGTGACGATGCTAGACGGTCAGCGGAAGCGAGAATATCGCCTCTGAAGCTGGGAGAGTGAAACAGAGTGGAAGACCTTGCCCATCTGCTTAAATCCCAAGTAAGCAAAATATGCCAAAATCGACTCACTGCCCAGACACTGCCTGTGACGAGCTCAACATGCCTTTTCACGAATTATCGATGGTAATTTAGCAAAACGCGTTGAGAGCACTCATAAACTTTTGAGGCTTATGCAAAACGTGTTCGTGTCTCTTGAGAGGATGAGTAATATGCATGTGATTATGCGCTTAAAGGCAGTGTCCGGGCAAAAACTCGATTTTGAGATTTTGTGCTTACTTGGGCCTATTCGCTATGCTGAATCCGAAAATGCACATTGTAGAGCGCGAAAATGGCGAAAAATGGCTTTAACACAGGAAGGAAATGAGCAGGTGGGCGGGGTCCTCCCCACTGCGAATTCACGTTCCCAGCTTCCGGAGCGACCTTCTCGCTTCCGGTTTCAAGTCAATCATTCGCACTTGACCGATAGCGATGTTAGGACGGCTAGCGGAATCGAGAAAATCGCTCCGGGAGCTAGGAGCGTGAAATCGCATTGGGGAAAGCCCCGCCCACCTGCTGATTTCCCTCCTGTGTTAGAGCCCTTTTTCGCCACTTTCGCGCTTTTCAACGTGGATTTTCGGATTCAGCATGGCGAATAGGCCCGTATATGCACAAAATCTCAAAATCGAGTTTTCCCCCGGACACTGCCTTTAATCAAGCCTTCGTTGATAAGAGCAGCGCTCCTAGATTGCGCGCTTGAGCAAACGTTAGTAGCTTGTACCCCTTCGATTCGGCGGGATTGGAGGATGGAAGGCGGGGCTTTGAGGCCTTATTAAGGTTAGGAACTAATCAGAGAGCGCGCTCGCGAGATAGACGCAGACTGCGTCGCGAGTGCGAGCGGTCGCCTTCCAGCCGCCAATCCCGTTAAATCAAGTGGTATTCACTTGTTGGTGAAACAAGACAGCATGCTTGCAACTTTGTATCTTATTACGACATTCACCTTGTTTGCAATGAAGCTTATTTTGACTTGAGTTCTGTGCTGCATCCTTGAGGTGAACAAGCATGTGCACATCTCTAGATGAACAGCTGGTACCACTACCTTGTAGACCTATTTATAAGATAGTAGCGGAGCAGCCAACTACTAACTGGTTACTAATCGTAAATATGTTCTAAGGCAGTGCCTCGTCGAATTTTTTGCTTACCTGGGACTTTCCGACGTTTCCAAAAATTCACATTAGAAAGCGCCAAAAAACAAAAGCCAGCTTTTCCGAAGGCTTCACATTCTGAATTTGGACGAGTGGGAATATTGCGGTGTGCGGCCTCCAACGGTTCGAATGGAAATCGCCAGCTCGTCTGAACGCGTGAGAGCATGGCGTGCGCGCACGGGTTGATGCAATTCTGGCAGGAGCAGCATGCAGCGCGCCTCGGACTTGCTCTGTTCTCCTATTTGGGGTATGAGCAACCTCCAAGTGTTCCGAGATATTCAGTTTTGCCGTAGAGGACATCGGGTCGCCGAAAGGGGCGGTTCCACGCGGACATTTGCAACAAACCGCTGTTACCATTACTGCTCATGCTGCCTGTCTGCATTGATGGAGCCTAAGGGCGACCTAATGTCCTCCATCCAGTTTTGCCGAGCCACTACCTTTGAAGGCAGTGGATCGACAAAATCCAACAGCTCAGGATTTTAACGCGTTAGGTTCCTTACCGCCCAAGTATGAGAACAGTGCAATCCCTGTTGCACAGCATGCCTTCCCTGTGGAGAATATTGTTCTCAAACTTACACGCGCAGCCAATCTTACATGCATCTGGACGAGTTGGCGATTTCCTTCCCACCACTGGAGGCTGCCCGCCGCAATACTATAACCATTGGGTCTGCAACGATTCAGCGTCATCGGCCTTGCTCCACGCGTCCATTTCTAAAGGGAAGGGCATTGAAAACGCTTATCTTCGCCGTTTTCAAGCTATCTAAAGTGGATTTTCGGGATCAGCATATTGAATAACCCAAGGTAAGCGCAAATTTGACTAGGTTGAGATTTGCCGAGCCACTGCCTTTAAAGGCACCGTCCACCTTAAGTTGAGGGTGTTGAGCTGTTGGCAACATATAATAGTAGGGCCCCTTATCAATCCAATGCCCAAGTTCCGGCGCAAAATGCCGCTTCAGAAGCGAGAAAGCTCCGGAATAGCGAAGATGCGCGAGGACCCCACCCTCCCCCATCCATGCCCGTCCATTTCTGTGCGCCCATCTAATCACTTTCAAAAGCCGGCCTGTGGGTTCTCCAAAACGGGGATTTTCGGGGTTTTCGAGGATTCTCGACTTCATATTCGGAATCAGGGACATGAGAAACCAGGGACCCTGAAACGACAAAAACGAATCAGGGACCCTGAAACGACAAAAACGTGGAAGTCGAAAATCTGTGTGAACGGTGTCTTTAACAGCAGTAGACAATAGTGATGATATCGAGCCAGCACCAGAACTGAGCATTCCGGTTTCTTATGCCACTGACTTGATCGTGAATAACCTAAACTCTAATTTCTGTCAAACCACAGCACGATGCAGACCGAAAAACTATCGGCATAAAAGTTGCCGCCAAGTCTATCAAGCAAGTGAAGGGTTTATCTGGCGGCTGCAGTGGTCAGAAATATTAGAAATTGTCAACGACAAGCTATCAGTCATGGAATAAATGAACATGATGGAACTGTAAAGGTAGTTGTAAACTGAGTAGATGTTACACGACAACATCTCAGGCAACCGAAACGTCTCCCGTTCACTTCACTGACAGGGTCCAAGCAGAATTTCGCCTACGTCTCCACCCTTTTTTAGAATAATTCTACAAGCAGATCTTCAAAAAGTTCTAAAAAGCTTCATAAACAACTATTTAACTGCCACCAGAGTAAATAATCTTTTATTCCTTTTGATCGTGGAAGTGGCATTTGTCTGGGTAACGATTTACATGAACTCTTGTGTGGTGACTGCTTTATTGATGTTAGATGGGGGTGTTGATTTTATTGCGTTGCGACCCAAAGCTTCAAGCTATCGTTTGTGCACGAACATGGACTTGTATAGTTTGATCTCCTTTTGCACATCAGAAATCTCTCGAGGACAATGTTGAGGCGTTTATTCAACTCACGTCTAAAACGGAAATAGTTGTTAATGCTTTAGATACTTTTAAACAACCACAGTATGGCAATGCGTTGACACACAAAGACACTATCGTCGCGATCACACATTCCATGCATGGATCGGTGATACAGTGATAAGATTGCTTTGAGAACATGCTCTGTTGTAATGTTGTTTTAGCGGAAGGCAAAGGCTAGGGCAAATCGCGCAAATCATCAGTGCTTTTCTCCGCGTCTGCGCTCATCAGTCGTTTTTACATTTCTTCTCTCCTCTTTTCTGCGTTTTTAAGCCTCAAGATGCGCACCAGTTTCCCGCGCTAGGATAGCTTGTAGAGATTGTAGATTGCGCAATGTCGTGATTATTTTGTGCATTATTGAGTTTATTTGACATTGTATTTTTTGCTTCGTTTCGCTTCGCTCGTCGTGTATTTGTAACCCGACAAGGGTTTAATTACCCAAGTTTGAGTAGGTAAATGGTTTGCGCCCTGGTCGTTGTTGTGGTGTAAATCCGCGTGGCAAATCGAGCAGTATTGGTTTTAGTTTATGGTGCATCGATGACTTCAACGACAGGACCGCGGTACGACTTACTGATATCAATTCTCATTGAAAATTGGATTTTAGAGTTTTACGCTCTCTACAAATTCTAAAATTCTCACTGAAAGATTGGATTTGTGAATTTTGCGCTCTCTACAAATTTTCAAAAGGCTTATAACCTATTTGATCATATCTTGAATATTGCGCACTTGATATTGATTCATCAGTCACTTCATAACTCCTCAATTGAACACCAATTTTGGAAGTCAGCACAAATCAAAAGTATTCCTCAGTTGAAATCTTCCAGTATCGGTATTCTATAATCTCTGTCAATTGATCATCAAATTTGAAAATTCAAGTATTTCAACATTGGAACTTTGCGCTACTTTAAACATGTCGGGACCTATGTCATTAAAATCACAAAAGCGCTTCTTACGCGATATTGTAATAATTTTGGCAAAATCATCTCCAAAGGGGAGAGTACACTACAACAGGAACGATCAGCTTTTTATGACTTCGAAAATTTGAATAGTGCGCAATGTTTGGTTTTCGAACTGAAAGAAACTTCCAAAATGGTCGCAGATAATCTATCGAGATTTACAATAATGGTGGATAACATTAGCGAACCATTAGAGGAAGAACAAGAAAAGCACACTCATGATTATACAATAAAAACCGCGCATGGGATGCTTGATCGTGCGCAAAGCATAGCAACTCAGTTAGAAGCCATAACATTGTGTGCGCAAACTTCTCATAACAGAACTAATAATAGTTTTAACGGGATAAGAAACGCAAACATTGAGAGACCGAAGCTACCTGCAATACCCATACCTAACTTCTCGGGGAGACCTTGGGAATTTAGCAACTTTTGGACCCTTTTTGAGGCCAGTGTACATCAACAACCCTTAACGAAACTGCAAAAGTTCTATTATTTACTGAGCGCGCTTCGAGGAGAAGCATTGGAAGCAATTAGGCGCTATCCCGTTACAGAAGATAACTATGATTCAGCTATCGACCTATTGAAAAAAAAATATGGAGATGATTCACAACTTATCGCGCGCCTACAAGCCCGACTCGAAATTAATCTTAAAATAAAAAAATAAAATTAAAATAATTATAATAATTAAAATAATTAATTATAATCATAATATAATATATTATAATTATAATAAAATTAAATTCATTACAAATCTTCAATAATTACAGTACACGCCAAAGTCCCAACCAAGATCGCGTTATCAAGATGCTGGCACCGTGCATGTTTTGCGCTTCAAACGAACACAAAGCCGCAGACTGCTCAAAGTATGCAAGCGTATCAGATCGTCGCGCGTTTTTACAGCAAAATAAAAGATGCCTCAACTGTGGGAAAGAGGGGCACTTTGCCAAAGATTGCACGAGAGAGGGTTGCAGGGTCTGCGAAGGGAAAAACATCACTATTCCCTATGTCCTCAGTACAGAAGCAGAGATAGAGTACCCACCTCTCCGAATAGCGCGCATTACAACCCAAAGCTCAGATATCAAACAAAAGAAAAGGGGAAAAAACCAGAGAATAAGATACGAGCGCAAATGGTCCAAACTAACATTGAAGAAAAAGATGACAATGAATCTGTTCACAACAATGAAGCAAACCACGCAACCACAGTATTCCACTGCAAAGAACAGAGAACCAATTTCTAAAACTCAAGTTCTCTTGTTAACAGGGGTAGGACGAGTGAGAGATAATCAGTCAGAAGAATGGAAACAAGTCGAAATTCTTTTGGATACGGGAGCTGATCAGTCTTTCATTAATGAGAGACTAGCTAGTGAGCTAGTCTTCGATGCAAAGAAACGAAGACGTTTCTGATGTATACATTTGGTATGGAGAACCCAATACCTGAGACATGTGGAGTTACAACATTGGACCTTTGGGATCAAAGTGGAGGAAAGCATAACATGCGACTATGTATAACCCCGACGGTAATGAGTCAAGGGAAAGCGGTGGAACTGTCTCCCATAGACCTAGATTTCATCTCGAAAAACAATATAAACTTATCAAGAATGGATTACAAAGAAGATTCGAAACCCCAAATATTGTTGGGATGCGACCAACTTTGGGAGCTTCTGGACATAGCCTATCCGCAGTATACGCTCCCATCCGGGCTCAAACTGATCCCATCTAAACTAGGATATCTATTGACTGGCAAGAAAGACCAGATCAATGTGAAAGGAGGAAACTTGCGCAACACTTTCTCCACAGCAATGGCGATAAATGTTTTTATGAACTTCGAAGAGGAGTTAATAAGATGGGATAAATACTGGTCAATGGACTCAGCGGGGATATGCGAATTCACCGGCACCAAAAATGAGGAAAAGGAGGCAGTTAACAAAAAGGTCGCCGATTTTTTTGAGCAAACTGTTGAAAAGCGCACTGACGGGTACTATGTTCGCTTGCCGTACAAAGAAAATCATCCTCCCCTACCGTCTAACAAGGCAATAGCGCTTAAAAGATTGCAAAGCTCGTTAGAGATGCTCAAATCAAAACCGCAGCTACTAGAAAACTATGATCAAACTTTCAAAGACCAAGTGCAAAAGGGTATCATAGAACAAATCCCAAACGACAAACCGACTGAAGGCAAAATTTTGCACTATATACCTCACCAGGCCGTCATCACACCGCAAAAACAAACGACAAAATTGCGCATAGTTTTTGACGCATCATCAGAGGTGCGATAGGGGGAGCCAAGTCTCCCCCTACCTTCACTTTTGAGCTGGTACGGGGTGACCACCTTCACTTTTGGAATAAAAAATTTTTCGCTGGACGACAAAGAAGGAAAATAAGCAAAACAAACGCAAAAAAGATTATTGAAAGCATATATTTATGTATACGGCGGCATATATATTTAAAATAAAGGTTTTTAGTAAATGGTGTATTTGGAAGTAAAGCTTAGCAAAACTGTACGGATTTTATTAAGCAAATTATGTTATAACGTATAGCGAAGGAAGTAGGTCGATCCAGGCAGTAACGGCGGAGAATCAGAATTTTGAATATTTAAATAGTGAAAAATCATGCGAAATTTCCACTGTTATAAATCTGTTGTTTGAAGATGTCAGCAGTTGCGACTTCATAGGTTTTGAAGAGTAGATGTTGCTCTATCAGCTAGTGAAGGAATCGGGTCGATTTAAGAGATAGTCGTTGAAAACCAGAGTTCTAAAACTTTACGCCATTTTTGCGTGTTTTTTGACTGTTGAGAGTTAAACTCTTATAAATCTTGAATGTGGAAGTGTATGATGTTGCGACTTCATAGGTTTTATAGAGTAAGGTTTGCCTTATCAGAATATGTCTTGTCCGTTCCGATTCATTGAAACACCTCCGAGATCCAGAGTCATGAAAAAGCAGGTAAAAAAGAGCTTTTTGAACTTCAACAGCTCATAACTTCTTCAGAACTGCATGAATCATGTTGCGACTTCATAGGTTAGATTCCTCTCATAAAGGGCTTTCAGATGATATATAATATGTGGGGTTTAGAGCCTCCTGCGAATTATGACCGGGGGGGGGGGAGACTTTTTAGGCCAAAGTCTCCCCCTCGCCCATTTTAATGTATTGGCTGGAGGCTGCCGGGGGAGACTTTGGCCTAAAAAGTCTCCCCCCCCCCCCCGGGCATGTGCCGTAAGAGGCGCGAAACCCCCACATATTATATATCATCTGAAAGCTCTTGACGAGAAGAATCTAATCTATGAAGTCGCAACATGATTCGTGCAATCCTGAAGAAGTTATGAGCTGTTGAAGTTCAAAAAGCTCTTTTTTACCTGCTTTTTCATGACTCTGGATCTCGGAGGTGTTTCAATGGATCGGAACGGGCAAGACATATTCTGATAAGGCAAACTTTACTCTATAAAACCTATGAAGTCGCAACATCATACACTTCCACATTCAAGATTTATAAGAGTTTAACTCTCAACAGTCAAAAAACACGCAAAAATGGCGTAAAGTTTTAGAACTCTGGTTTTCAACGACTATCTCTTAAATCGACCAGATTCCTTCACTAGTTGATAGAGCAACATTTACTCTTTAAAACCTATGGAGTCGCAACTGCTGACATCTTCAAACAACAGATTTATAACAGTGGAAATTTTGCATGATTTTTCACTATTTATTTATTCGAAATTCTGATTCTCGGCCGTTACTGCCTGGATCGATCTACTTTCTTCGCTGTACGTTATAACAAAATTTGCTTAATAAAATCCGTACAGTCCAACAAACTTCTACTTCCAAATACACCATTTACTAAACACGTCTATTTTAAATTTTTATAAATAAAATTTATAGATATTTTTAATATTCATCGTATCTGTGGCCCTAAAGAGGGCCGTTGGGTCGACGTTAGACCTAGAAAGATAGCTCCGTTCGTCCGTTCTATCCTCCCCCCGCACCTCCCCCCCCCCCCCCCGTCGACGTTTTTGGGAGGTGAGTGTCCGACACTACCACCTTCACTTTTGGCCGGCCGGTGGTAGCTGAACCACCTTCACTTTTGGGGGACCCGGCTCCCCCTATCGCACCTCTGCGCATCATCCCACTTCAAGCAATGTCCATCACTCAATGATATCCTGCATCAGGGCCCTTCGATCTTACCAGAAATCTATGCAATGCTTTTACGCTTTCGCACAAGCGATTACGTTTTTACTGCCGACGTTGAGAAAGCGTTCCTTCAAGTGCGCCTAAATGAGATGGACAGGGATGCAACAAGATTTTACTGGATAAAAAATCTAAATGCGCCAATTGATGATGAGAATCTCATAGCCTTTCAATTCATACGAGTGCCCTTTGGCTTAAATGTGTCGCCATTTTTACTTGCTGCAACGGTTAACCATCATTTGCAAATGGTCACAGACACGACTTTGGGTAACCTGTATGTGGACAACCTCAACATCTCGGAAAACTTGCTCATAAGGGTTATCCGACCTGCTGATTACGAAAATCACATCTGCTTAGCAAGAGAGCTTCAAATTTCAGAGTTACGGTGAGAAAAATTTGGAAAGACATGATTTTTCCTGAATTCACCAGCCCTTCTATCTCCTTTGGAAAGAAGTGTGCGGCTAATTCTTAGCGCCCTATAATCTACAGAAAAATAGCTATCGAAAATTTCTTTCTGAATCTACTGGGGGCAATACGCGCTGCATTACACCTTTGCGAAGAGACGTCCGCAGAGAGTTTCAAGAATACTGAAATCGAGATATCAAGGACATTTTGCATACCAAAAGATTCGCCTTGATGAGTTGAGCACAATGCTTTTTTCGTATTCAGAGAATTTCCACTCCAAAGAAAGTTACGGCGAGTACAATCTGGAAACGAGTGGTTTTTTCAAAATTTACCAACGCTTCTTTCTCTTTTGGAAAAAAGTCTGCGGCAGCTTTCTAGCGCACTATAATGTACAAGAAGAGCACTATCGAACGGTACTTACTGAGATCTTTTATGTTGGATAGGCGCTGCGTTACATACTTGCGAAGGGACCTTCTCAGAAAAATTTGGGAAAACTGGAAATGAGATATAGATGACATTAAGTATGTCGAAAGATTCGCCCTGAGCTAAACACAATGCTGCTTTCGGATTTAGAATATATTCATTCTGAAGGAAGTTATGGCGCTGCATAATTTGCGATCTTCCGGAATCGCGAAATTTCTGGAATTTCGTTCTGTGGGTGGTATTGTACATTGCACAGCACGCGCGGCATTCCACGATATGTGCTTCTCATGCGATTTCCAACCGTTCCCCTTTGTCTTCCTGCATTTTGGGACCCGTCATACTTCGCCGAGAAAAGCCCAGTTTTACACATATCCGTGCAGAATGAGCTCTTAAACTATGGCCACCCTATTTCTGCAGTGCTCAACAGAATGTGTAGGTAGCCTCTGGAATCAGCACACTGAATGATCCATTTACACTAAAATTCCAAGAAAAAAAACCTATATCCCACAACTAGGCACATCTGTATACTGGAAGACGCGCCTCGCCGAGCTGAGTTGAATGGTACTCTAATATATAGAATTCATAAATTTTGAATCAAGATAAGGTCTTTTTCATAAAAAAAAGTTAGGCGTTGCGCGACAAAGTTAGGCGGCAAATGCCGCTTTTCCGCCTAACTTTGTCGCGCGACGCGGCGCTTGTCACCTAACTGCGGCGGCGCCGCGTGAGTTAAGTGCCGCCGCCAATTTTTTTTTTCACAAATTACGGGTGGTATTGTAGCATTGTGGAGCTATGCCATGTTTTCCGTTTTTGATCTTAAAGAATAAGTGAGATTTACGCATTGAATACATTTTTGGTATTGTAAAGGGTGGCGACGAGTGACGATCGCAACAAAATAAAAGCGAGAAAGTATGAGAGTATCATAAAAGTCACTTCTAAGTAGCTACAAGGCGTTAGTGTCAACGCTTGCCATGGAGCCCATAAAGAACTAAGTGCCAAGCATGCTTCGAGCAGGTTTGCGAATGCTTTTCAGTGGGACGAAGACGATATCAACGATAGACTCATCTGAGTGTGAGAGAGCCTGACTGTTTTATTGCAGAGTGTGTGTTCGTGAGATCTAACGCAGCAAAGCGAATAAGGTTCACTGAAACATTATTTTTAACAAAGAAAAGCAAGCTTTCAACAGGTTGATAAGGGACTGCTTGAGTATTAATTTCAAATTCTCTAGAAAGATAAGTGGGGCAAAGTTTATGGTAATTTGAACATCTTGCGCGGGATCAGCTTGTCTCTCTTAGCTAAAGTCATGCCAGGAATGTAAGACTGTACCAAGAATTGATCTAGCGCATATCTTCTTCGCGTTCTCCAAGCGACCGTCATCGAAAAACATTTTACTTTCACTTGTTTTTAAAAGGGCAGTATTTTCTGCTAATGTTAAAAAGGTTGAAGGAATGCAGCAGGGCTAGTACGATATTTGAGTGCTCTTTTTATCTCGCACAGCATCAAAAATGAGTTCCGCCAAGTTAGGTAAAACGATCCGAGAAAAATTAACGAGCGGAGTTCTGCAAAAATGTGTGGTTTATAATGAACTCAACAAACCATAATCAACTCATTTCTTAATAAGGAGCTCCCCAAAATCGCATCGCGAGTCAGCTGCTGCATCTTTGGCAGCCGATACTTTGCGTTCTTGGTCACAGCCAAGCTATGTGCATTGAATGCAAAATTTCGATTTTTGCTATCGCACTTGTGTATTCCTTGTCTTCTGAACAGTTCCGGGATTAATGCTTAGCGCGGGGCAGGCTGGTTATAATCGGGGGTGATAAGCAAAGAGGTTATGGTTTTTAGGGGGTCCGAGGCGGAGCCACGTGAAGCTGAAGGCAACTGCATGACGAAGGCGCAGAAGCAGTCAAGAAGAAGCATTTTCGGCACCGGCAAATTCCTGGTTATCAACAAGAGTATAAACGCACAGAGCTGCACTGATAGTGGAAAATCGCGATCGACGTTTATATAAGACAGAAAAGATTGGTTTGCTTAAGGGATAAAAGGTTAGTCATGACTTTTTTGTGATAAATAGAGCGTTCTGCACCATGAGTTGCTAAACAAAAACAAAACAGTCGACAAAATAGGTACGCAACCTAAAAGCTCATAAAGCGAAAAGGCCAAAAAACATAACAAGTGAATATTTCGCCATGACAATCATGACCTATGCGGCAAAAGTGGTAGAAAATATCAAGCAAAACTTGACCAAGAGGTAAAACATTATATTCAATGTACTTCATCTATACTTTCTTGCAACATGAACCTTCAATTCCGATTTCAAATAAGATTTCAGGCGCCTGTTAGATGAATAAATTGGGATCACTATGCTGCCCTTTGAAAAAACTGGGATTATGAATAATATTATTCATTACATAGGTTACCCTATGTTGAAAAAGCAACAATATCAACAAAAATGAACATATTCAAACAACAATAAACAAAACTATTAGTAACAATGAAATATCAAAACATCCTACTACAAATTCATGGAGAAAATAGATAGTTCTTCAAGACTGCTTTAAATTGTGAAAGTTTATAAGGGAGCATTCCCTTCCTCATTAGCTTATCAAGATCACTGCTTACTCTACTAACAAAAAACCTTCTCTTCACATTCTTTCTCGCTCTTGGAACCCTATCTTTCTTGGCCCCCTCTCGTTCTTGAACGGGAAAAAGTCGGAGGGATTGACCTGATACTCTTTAAACAAAATTTTGTGTGCTGTAATAAGGTCACACCCTTCTTCTGAAAGGTTAAATACCTTTCTGAAAGCTAGACTATTCAATCCAAAGTTCTTATTCCGCCGATATCCACCAACTATTTCCTCATAGTCAAGCCCTTTGGTTCGGATCCATAGTTTCCTAGTAAAACAATTCTGCACTCTCTCAAGAGTCCGTATAGAGCTGACTTTCGTGGGATTATACAGGGTGTCCCAAAAGTAAGTACACACTTTTCAATCGTCAATATCTTTCTTCCCAATGGTTCTTTTTCCGCCTTCTAAGAATCACTCTGTAGAGGAGGCTTCAACTTAGATTCACAGTATCGACCGGATCACCAATCTCTCTTCGTTACTGTAGGATTACGGTAAGAACTTCCAGCATGTTGAACAATTGTGAAATATGCCAAGTGACAAAATTTCTTCCAAAAAATCTGAAAAATTGTGTACTAAGGTTTTTGCGCACGCTGATTCTACTACATAACTGTTCACGAGCATTTTCAGCTTTTTTGACGGTGTAATCACATTTTTGACAAATGCTAGAAATCCAATAATTACGGCTTTCCTGGAATGAGTTTGGAAAAAAGCATCACAATGAAGTGGAAATTTCGTATCCGGAAACAGCAGCTTCCATTACCATAGTATGAGAGTTTTTGGATTGTTTGGTTTTGTTCCGAGGCAGAACATGGCTTCCAATGGTCTAAAATCCTTGTCGAAGTTCCTACAGTAATCCTGCAGTAATAAAGAGCGATCGGTATTTCGCTCAATACTGTCAATCTAAGTTGAAACCTCCCCTACAGAATGGCACTTGAATGGCGGAAAATGACATAATGGGAAGAGAGATATTGACGATTGAAAAGTGTGTACTTACTTTTGGGACACCCTGTATACTACCGTGCCGTACTCGAGTAAAGGTCTGATGTAGACTTTATAAGCGCTGATAAGGAGGGATGGATCACCACTTGATAAAGCTCGAAACAAGTTGTGTACGGCTGCATTGCCCTTTGCAGCAATAGTTTCACAATGTTTTCAAAACTGAGATTGCTACAGACCAAAAAGCTGAGATCTCGAATCTCATCAACGTAGTCAAGACTCCTTCTATTTGATACTGATAGTCCAAATCACCTGGGCCAATGTGAAGAACTTTTGTTTTTTCACGAGAAATTGGCAAGTTCCAGGTTCTCGACCATTCAAAAACGATATTCAGCGCTTCTTGGAGCATGGTCTTATCTGCGATTGTTGTGATTGTCTTATAGATCTTGAAATCATCAGCAAACTGCAACAGGACACTCCTGCTCACGAAATAAGTGCAGGGATTTCATGAGTATAGATGTTAAAAGGTACTGGAGATAGTACGCCTCCCTGCGGCACGCCACTAGATATCAGTCTAAAGCAAGAAAACGTTCTATTGATATGAACCGAAAATTTGCGATTGGATAAAAAAGCAGAAATCCAAGCGATAATAATCGGGTGTATACCAACTTGTTTGAGTTTGATTGCACGTTTTGTATGAGAAACGTCAAAAGCTTTTGTGAAATCAAGGTAAACACCATGAATGCTTTGCCCAGAATCCAACGAATGAGTCCAGTCATTTGAGTACAACATACAAGTAATGGTGGATCTGCCCCCTTGGAAACCATGTTGGGCACAGAGAATTATGTTCTGTTTTTGTGGATAATTCAGTATCTGCTCTTTGATTAGTTTTTCAAAGAATCTCGAAAAAATCAATGTTATGCTCACAGGTCGGTAATTGGATACGCATGTGTAGGGTCTCTTTTTTGGTGTAGGAGATACGAAAGAAATTTTGCATCGTTCAAAAATTTCTGATCATTAAGCTCAAATTGAATATGTGTTGCAGTGGCTTAGAGATAACATGGGCCACCGCTCTAATAAAATGCAGCGGGATGCTATCCGGCGTGAGCGACTCAGATGGGGGCCATTTCCAAAGCAGCTCAAAAATTTCATAGTCATTGAAATATCGTATATCTTTCATCTCCGTATAGTCAGGTCGCAAGAAACTTGGATCAACGTGTACTGAATCCTGTTCGGAAACTTCTTCGAATACATCAGCAAAACTTTCGGCTTTGTCAAGGTCTGAAGTCATGGTATCCCCCGTACCGAATATGATCACACCCATTCTTTTCCGTTCTTTGAGTCTATCGTTAAGCAAGCGAAAGAATGCGGTCTATCTCCCTTTTTAACTGTCTTAATTTCTAAGTAAGTACTGTATTTTTTAAGTCTTTTCTCAAACTTGGCGTTTACCTTTTGAAAGCCAAATCCTCTACTTCACCAGAAGCTCCGAATCTAAACCAGGCCGACTCACGAGCTCTGAACAGTCTTTCAATATGGGCTGGTAATTTAGGTCTACTTGATGGGGCAGCCTTTAGCGGTATGGAAAAAGTGATTGCATGTTGAATTACAAAAATTAGTAACTCATATAATACATTTCATTTATAGTTGTGACCGCTCCAAATGATCCAATTCAATCGATAGACCGAGGTATCTGATGGCAGCCTCAACATTTTTCGTTTTATAATCCTTTTTTAAAACAATATCACCAACGGGATTGCTTACGTAACGTATGTAAAAGCTAACTAACGAGTGATCACTTGTTCCGATGGGGGTTCGATCCTGACCTCAGTGACCAGTAACTCATCGTTAGTAAGTACTAAATCCAGAGTGTTTTGCTCATGAGTATAATGCCTAACCTTTTGAACAAGGTTTTGGCTCAGGCACATATTCAAAAAGTTACTTGACATGGAATTGTTCCCATTAACCTCCGACGTATTCCAATTGATATGAAGACTGAAATCTCCCAGTAGGATCGTCGAGAAGTTAACGGCCATCAAGTCTGAAAGTGCCTTGATCAACTGATCGAAAATGAGACATGGGCAGGAAGGCGCACACACCAATACACCAATACTATACACCAATATTATTCGACCTTTTTTCGTACTGGAATGAATGTCTACACAAAGTAACTTATAACCATCATTGATCGATTCATTAAGTATTAATTGTGGGCACTGAGCCTTACTTAGCAGTAAGGCTACACCACCGCCCCTTTTGAACTTGCGATCGCATCTATATATCTCGTAAATTTGCACAATTCACCAAAAAGGGCGACATCAGATATATCATAGTTCGGGTTCAACCAGGTCTCGGTAATCCCACAAATATATGGCAAGGTATTAGCGAGGGGGAATCATAGATATGTTTTTTTGCATATGAGCATAGATATGTTTTTTGCAATGATCTTATATTTGTCAAAAAACACAAAAAAGACAAAAAAGAACTGTCTGCTTTCCGATGAATAACTATGCGTTTAAAGAATCAGCAAAATCTGTATGGGAGGAATGTTGGATGGCATCCATATGACTATTAGCAGGAGAGGAAACATGGGAAACACGAGAATCAACATTATCATTTCTAGAAACGCTCATTCGCAATTCTTTCTCTAGCTTGAGCTTTTCACGCGCCACTTTCTATAAGGACGCCCTAATGTAAATGCCTTTTTTGTAAGGAAATTTCTTCATTAGATAAGCTCTCTTAAGTGTTAGTTCAACAAAAAGAAGTTGAAGGCATCACTACTTTAAGCAATCTATCCCGCGAAAAACTAGATTTCCCCATGCGATAAATCGCAACAGGGGCACAATCAATATTCAGAAAATCGAATATCTGACAAACACAACTCGAATCGTGATTAACTCTTACGCTGCTTAGTCCACCACGGTATTCCGGAATTCCAACTAGTACCATCGATCGTCTTCTTTCTTGTTCCTGCCATTTGATTTGATCCACAGCAGTATGACTCGGAAAATTTGATCCAGTTTGATCCACAGAATTTGGTTCAGCTTCCGACTGGCCTTGATCTGAGAGATGACCTTAATCTATCGTTTTCGGATTTGAGCGAAATAATCTCATCAAACAATTTTTCATTTCGTCCACCAACTCCGATTGCTTTTGACAATCGACTCCATTTGCTTGCGACTATCCAACAGGTATCCGAGTATAGTTCTAGCAAATAGCGGGAGATTTTCGTCCAGCAAGCCTTGGCGGCCTTATCCAAGTCAGGGGGATCGTGGAGGCGTTTCATCGAACTGCAGTCTTCGTTTTCGCTGGCGTTTCACAGAAGCAAGCGGGTAAACCGCTGTGTCCTCGACCATGATAAAAGCAGTGTAGTAGGCGATTTCCTTCAATAGTTCGACTAGGAATACAAGACGAATCAATCCATTGAACGGGG